GGCCGCAGGGCGCGCGCACGGCGCGGACGGCCTCCCCGCGAGGGGGCGCGCGCGTCGTCACATGACCTCGGGCCGGCGCTGGGGGTCACGTGAGCTCCGCAACAGTTTAAAGGTGCCCGGCACCTTCCTGCTTTGGCTTCGGGCGTGCGCTCTGTGCGTAACTGCGAGTGCCTTGGTGCGCCTTCCTCGCGTCTGACGACGGGCGGGTCCCATCCTGCCAGAGCGGGAGGACGCTGACGCAGGGGGAAGGAACAGGTGTACAGAGCCGTGCCCGGAAGCGCCTACCGGGTTCCTGCGGGGCCGGACCTGCTGGAGGCCACGCGCCTCACGTCGTCCCGGGGCTCCCGCGCCGCGCGGCCTATGGAGACCTCGGGCTTGCGGACGTCAGAGCGGCGCTGTCATGGGTGGGGTTTCGGGCTGCCCGGTGGCGCCTGGCGTGGAAGTCCGGGCGACGATGATAGCGTCCCGGGGCCGAACCTCAGAGCCTCCCGTGTGCGACTGGGGGTCCCCAGGGGGCGCGGTTTCCGCGCGTCCCGGCCCTCAGCCGGCGACGCTGGAGCAGAAGAGCTCGCTCGTCCCGCCTCCGGAAGCAAAGCTAGAGTTTGATCACCTCCGCGTGGCAAGTCCCGCCCCGCGCAGGTGTGCGCTCCGATGGAGATCCCCCGAGGGCGGTGGATGGGAGGCCTGGCCTGAGGATCCCTGGGGGCTAACTATCGTAGGGACTGGAAGAGCGGGTGCCCCTGGGCCCTGGAAATCCAGAGCTCTGCTGGGTGGTTAGAACTTGTTGATTCTGCTCTGTGGCCCCGCCTTCCAGGGTGTCGCAAGGAACCACACTGGCCTGAACCTTTGTACTGTCAAAGACAGGTGGCTGAGCACCAGATGTTTTGCAAAGCTGAACAGTGTAACTTCCTGCAGCGTTCCCAGCTGGTTCCTTCATGACAACCCCGCAGACGTCTTCTCAGCAAAGAAAGATCAGCAAACCTTTATACCAGTGAACAAACCTGGCGCTAATATGCCAAGCTTTCTGTTCTGAAACGGATTTCCGCGTTTTAAAAATATCTTACCAGGTCCGCTTATCACATAAGCGCTCTCCTAAGAGGGGAGCATCGTGAAGACAGATGCTTATAGTTACGTGAGCCGAAGCTAATGCGTTTATTAAAGCCACCAGATCTTCACACACACACGTGATTGAACCCAGGGCTTTTTAAGTTTTTGAGGCAAGGTTTTACTAAATTGCCACAAGCTGGGCTCTTGGGGTCCTGCTTCCACTTTGCAGAGTGCTGGGATTACAGGCATGTTTTACCATGCCCCTCTGAACCACCGTGATCTTCAGTGGTTAGCCTCTGAACAATCTGTGGTCCTTCAAACTCAGCCTCTCTAATAGCTGGGATTACAGGCATGAGCCACTGTACTCAGATTAAAACCTTTTTGAACATTTAGTATGTTAATTTTTTGTATATATTTTACATCGACATTCTCATCTACCTTTTGACAGATACAGGTTGATTTAATGCAGGTTGATTTAATTTGATAAGGTGTAAAATTTAGGAGCCTTTACTTTCGTTTTCCCACAGTACTTGTGTTGGTGTAGGAAAGGGCAAATTTTGAAGGTAAGACCAAAAATAATTAGAAAGGAAACAGCACTTTTCCCTATTTCAGTTTATTAATCTTTGAAGAGTTTCAGCAACTGAGCCAAGTGTGGTGATGGTGCATGCAGGTAATCCAAACCCTTGGGCTAGTTCTGGTGGCCCACACCTGTGATCCCAGTGCTGGGGCAGGCTGAGGCAGGAGGATTACCTTGAATTCAAGGCCAGCCGGATCTCCATACTCCATAGTGAGATCCTGTCTCAAAGACCCAAACAAACAAGGGAAAGAAGGGGGACAAGAAACAATTACGGTGTATTATGTACATGTACCAACGCCCCTTGATAAATGTCATGTACTGAATACGTGCACTAATAAAGAATTTTTAAAAGGCAAAGTCCAAGCACTTGAGGGACTGAGACAGAAGGATCATGAATTTCTGGTCAACCTGAGCTACACAGTAGGACTGATACCAGGTAGCTTGCTTCTAAAAGGTGGCTCACCAACTAAACATTACCTGTTTGGGGTTGCTTCCTCTCCGAAGCTGGGCTCCACGTTCTTCTCTTGAATAAAGATTTGAACAAAACGAGCAAAAAAGTGCTAATATCTATTTGAGAAAGTCAAAGTGAAGAGTGGGAGAGAAAATGGCTCTGCAGAGCAAGCTTGGGCTGAGTAAATAGAAAAGAGGGTAAGGGGAAAAAGTACACGCTGCATCTGGGAAACTGTGGGCTATCGTAGAAAGCTGCCGTAGCCCCAGCTCATCCTGGCTGCCTGTCTTTTATATACTGTCCAAACCTCATGGAAACCACGAGACCATCTACCTCCCGGTCCTGAGAGGCTTTGCTGAGATCCCACACCTCAGGCTAATATCAGGTCTAGGTCACCTTAAAGCCTGCTCAAGTTCTTGGGAGAAGTCCACATTGGGAACTGTTCTGCGCATGTGTCCAGGATCTTGTAGTTAACAGGTCACACCAACTTCCCCAGCCAGCTTTTGCCATGCCCTAAGCTCTTTATCTCGGGATCCGTTTAAAAAAAAAAAAAACTAGTTGCTTGTGTATCTTTTACAATTTTAATACACAAATATATAAGTACATGGGAAATATAGAATAGTATAACAGATAAAAGAGGTCAGTGTTTGTAGATTTCATAATCATGACACAGAGCCATTATTTCAGGAAGATGCCAGGTATTCTGGGTCTTAGACCTGAGATTTGAGACTTCCAAGAGTAAAGGGTACAAAAGGTTTAGGTCCATAAAGCCCCTGCGGTTGGCATCATGCTGTAAATCACCAGTGCGTGTGAAAAGTGTACCTGAGAGGGATGGGGATTTGTAACAAAATAAGCTGAGCCTTGTGGTGGAAGAAGGGAGGAACTTTTGGGAGTGTACTGTAGCTGCACCAGGACTCAGATCGAAAGCAGCTCCTTTTTCTGTCCCTTTAGTTGGTGCCCTGGAATCAGGCATGGGTTCCAATCTAAGCATAATTCTTCCATCAGTGATCATACAGCACTTGTAAATTCACAGGACACCATCACTGAGGGGCACAAGGCTTCAAAAGATCTCTTCAAACTGGGCATGGTAGGAAATGCCAGTAATCCCAGAACTCTGGGAGGCTGAGGCAGGCATCCCAAGTGTGAGTCCAGCCTGAGCAATTTAGCAACTTAGCAACACCCTGTTTTGAAATAAAAAATAAAATAGGTCTGAGGATTTGGCTCAGTGCAGAGGCCCTTGGTTCAAACCCTACCTCTTCACAGAGATTCAGACATGTTACTGTTATTTTTCATAAAGTCTTTGACTACAAGAAGAAATAAAACCCTTAACATCTTAAAAAAGATACATCTGCATATAGATGTATATATTGCAAAGATAAAATGTCTTCAGGTTGACTTAACAGTTCTTGTTTTTCAGAGTGTCATCTTTTTTTCTTGCTCCTCTATCAATTTCCATCTCAGGAACATGGTTTAATTCATCTCTCTGACAGTATCTCTTAAAGTACCACAAACAAGGTTCCAACAGTCAAGTGCTTTCTTCTGCAGAAAGAGCACATTGACTTGCAAGCTATTCTGTGCTTTATTTTACCAAATTCACTGATTTTAATCTCTTTCTCTGTATCTGATAGCCCTGAGTTTTTCTTCTCTGCTCAAGTTCACCCACCACGGCATTCTGTCTGTTCAGTGGACTAAAGATGTGGACCTATATTCTGCCCCATCTTGCTGTACTATTCTCTCTGTGATGCATAACTGGAACTCCCTCTTTCCACTAGTTACAGTATATAGTTTCTTCTTCCTCTTCCTCTTTTTCTTCCTCTTCTCCTTCTTCTCCTCCTTCTCTCCTCCCCATCCTTCTCCTTATTCTCCTCCTCCCCTTCATACTGAGGATTGCCAGGCCTTCACATTGAGCTACAATCCCCAGCCCTTTTCATTTGTTATTTTGGGACACAACCTTACTAGGTCACTAAGTTACCTAGGCTGGGCTTGGATTTGCAAGCCTCCTGCTTCAGCCTCCCAGAAGTGCTAGGATTACAGGCCCGTACCACTGTGCCAGGCCTGCATCTATCTTCTTGAGAGGTTTTACCCCTCATACTTACCATATATGACAAACATTGACAGATAAAGCCGTGAAAACCATTTCAAGGGTATTAAAGGGCTCTTGAGACCAAAAAGTTTAAGGCCTATAGGTTTGAGAGAGTATATCACAGGATTAAATATTCTTTGACTCTCATTTCATTTCATTTCAGTTATTGTGGTCCAGGGAAGTGAACCAGGGTCATTGCACTGCTACATTTCCAGTTTCTTTTTAAATTTTGAGACAGGCTTTACCACTAAGTTACCCAGGGTGAGCTCAAACTCTGCTGTCATCCTGCCTCAGCTTCCCAGAGTGCTGGAATTACAGGTGTGGACCTCTGTGCCTGGCCACTCAAGTAATAAACAGCTCCCTAAGTTGCTCCTTGAGGCACCCTTTCCTTCCTTGGGCCCTCTGACCATGAAAGAGGGATTCCAAACTACTGGAGGCTCATCAACACTACTAACAACATCCCAGTTGAATCACCAGTATTTCCACGGTTACACTGACAGGGACCTATGCAATCATTGGCCTGTGAGCTAGTTCTTCCTAAAGAAACACAGGTTTAGCACTTGAGAAGCTGATATAGGAAGAGCACCATGAGTTCAGGCCAGCCTAGGCTACACGGTGAGTTCAAGGCCAGCCAGGATATGAGACCTTCTCTCAAAAAAGAAGCCACTCAGTTTTAACAGAACAGGCCACACATGCACTGCCGCATGACTTCACTTCCATCTTCCTGTGCCTCTTCATAGCTGCCAGACTTTTTTTTTACCAAGTGTCCCTGCTTGAAAGAAGTCAACCTGTCACTAATTTTTCAAGGAGATCACATGTGAATTACATCCTGAGTTCTGCGTTTCAAAATAAATTTTTGCCAAGCTGAGCATGGTGGCCCATGACTGTAATGCTAGCGCTGGAGAGGCTGGGGCAGGAGGACTGCCACAAGTTCAAGGACAGCCTGCATGTAACAAGACCCTGTTTCAAAAATAAACATTTTTCCAAATACTTGCTATTGAGATTTTTTTTTTTTTTTTTTTGGTCTTTTTGAGACAGGGTCTTGCTATGCAGTTCAGGATGGCCTTAAACTCACTTTGTAGCCGAGGTTGGCCTCGAACTCGCAAAGATCTTCCTGCCTCAGCCTCCCAAGTGCTGGGATTACAGGCGTGTGCCACCACGCCCGGCTGAAATCTTGAAGTTAGCCAGCTTCCCCGCTCACCTCAACCACAC